CWGATAGTTCTACAATTATCTAATAGAAATATTCACAAYTTCTTGTTATAAATATAAATCTTTTCTAATCAACATAACGGGATATTATACTTTATTAAAGTTATAATAGTAATATAGTGTGTCGAGTTTTAATTTTTTTTTTATTTACAATTATTATTTCTATATATTTAAAGTTAGGTACTATATAGGTAACTTCTTAATTCTCTTATTGATCCAAAGTTTTACAGACTTCAGGTGTATGGCCATTAAATACACAACATTTAGACATATTTTAATATACTACATTGTGTACATTATAAAGAAGTGGTCGTATTCAAGTTTTCTGAAAATTACTAATCCATAATCACTAAATCATATTATACTCAACATAGTCATTCTTTTCAGATATTTCAGACTACCTACATAGTAAAATCTCAAAACCATTTCGTGTTATTTGAAAGTCGAGGTAATAATAATTAATAATTTGGATTATATTATATTTTTAATGTAAATTTCAATAAAGGTAATGAAAAAAAAATATTACTTAATATTATTTCTATTGCTCAAAAGTTCTTTTAATACCTATTGGATGTTATTAAGTGTAATACTAAATTGTAATATATTTTTATGTATTCACTATTCAACTATATATTTAAAAAAATAAAAGTGAAATTTTAAATGTTTTTAATTATAATCAGATGTAAATTTTAATTGACGATGATCCCATTTAATGCCATTTGCCTGGTTTTATCATATGTATAGGTATGCATAATTTTATTCTAGACCTTTTCTGTTTYGCTTTTATCATAGTTATTAATTATTAAACAAAATTTAAACATGTTAATAATATAAGTATGGTTTTACAGCTTACTATAAAAATAGTAAATGAAATCGAGTACCAAAATGGTACATAATCATTATAAACACAACATAAAACATTAAGTATTACTGCATGTCAGTACATATTAGTAGCCTGTTCAATGTAAATATCGAGCTCATAAAAATAAAAGTAATTCGTATAAACTTAATAAWAGTTTTCTTAGGAATTTTTAACGTCGATGATGGAATTTAAATTTCCAATGCAATAAAATAAATATATACCTAATATTAGTGTAATAGCGTTATTTTTGCATTGAAATTGTTATCGGTTGATCTTAAGAGTTCGGTATGTAGTTGTTTATTATTCACAACATAAAAACCCATACTGCTCTATGTTAATATCAGTACCTACTGTTAGACTTTTTAATTTTYGCTAATTTAGTTTAGAACCTTGATAGTTTAATAATATTTCTAACAAAACTGAATTCCACGAAGGTATTAATAATGGGTTATTGAACAATAACGTAATAAAAACTAGTTAGGTAGTTTGATCTAGAAGTATACATATTCAATTTYAAAATTGAGTTGCGTTTTATTTWAAACACTCTTTTTATTTTTTTGTARGTTATGCGTATTATCTTACATAAAATCAATGAGCGAATTTAAATTCGGTTTGATAGTAAAGAGGTTTGTGTACGAATGCAGAGAAAAATCCAATTTTACATTACAAATCGTTTTTACTTTGTGTGTGGAGTGCAGCTTATTCATTGACTTTATTTAGTCGCAGAAAATAATTCCTGGCTGAAAAACGATACCTATYGTTGTCTGTCAGAATTTTTGAAAATCTTTTACGGGAAAAAATATACATAATATATGTACCTATATATATTATATACTTTTATATTATAATATTAAGCCCGCCGTTGGTTCTTTCGTTTTCTTTTCCGTCAATCAAAATTAAATTAATATCGTGTACCGAATATACATTTACAATATACAATGAGTATTTTGAGTGACGCAGTAATTGAAAAACGAAAAAGGATTGCCAAACATAGTTAATAAATAGTTAGAACTTTGATACTTATGCGAATTAAAAATGTATAGTAAATTTTCAGTGGAATACGTTTATAATTAAATATTTATTGCTAATACAACTAAAATAAATGAAGAAAAGATGAGAACGAGCAATTAAATCTTACTTATAAATTATTGTATTAACAATTATAATAATATTTTAAATGAGTGTATTAAAATTAAAATTAAAACGATGTCAAATATAACAATATATTACATACTATATATTTCCAAATTACATTATATATGCCCGTTAAGTTCGATTGTTTGTTTGGATACCTTTGTATGGATCCGTTGTTTATTTGTGATCTGTCGAGGTTTTATTAAAGTAAAGATCAAAGGTRCAATATTTACATAATCGTTTGTGCTCGTATATAACGTTTACTCAGTTGATTTAAATTATTATTCGTATAGGTGCTACAACACAGTTAGACATCACATATATATTACATACAAGGTGATTTACCAATCATGATCAGTCTCATTTTTTTTTTTTTTTGTTTTAATGAATTTATTCAAATTCTGATTTTAATAATTTTTAAATAATTTAAAAGACCATAATTMAATTTGTTGTATAGGTACTTAAGGAGTGGGCACTTCTTTCGCACGTCTTTTTTTTCTTTAAAATATTTAGTTATTCAAATTCTGATTTTTGAATTATTAAATCTTATACAATATTTTAAAATAATTTAAATGTTTCATACTACTTAAAAAGTGGCTTGTGGCGATTCAAAATCCTATTTTTCATATGAGAATACCYATTTTTTACTGTAAATAATTTAGTAGATGATTTTTTAAAAATGTTGATGTACCTAACTTTTAATTTCTTATTAAATGCGTTTCTCCACAAGACACTATTTATGTGATACAAAAAAATTTCAAGTATTTTAGTATACATGGTTTAATCGTAGAGATTTAATAATTCAAAAATAAGAATTTGAATAGCTACATATTTTAGGAGAAAAAAGGTGTGTGCATGTTTAATGACTCAYTCTGTATATAATATGAAGTGACCGTGTGAAATTTAATCGGACACTATTAAATGTTTACATTTATGCCTATCAAAACAAACTACAGCTGCCGCTGATAAAATATTTCAGTAAAAAAAGTGCAAACACAGATACGATTTATGAGAGGGATAGTTTGGCGATTTCGTGTAAAAGCAATGCATCCCGTCGAGACGTCGACAATCATCATAATTGGTCGCGTGTTTGCTAACTATTTTCGATTCCGTCCTTCATATTTGTATAAATATATTAAATTCACATAATAGAACAGATAAAATACGCACTTTGTTCGACAAGGCGTGATGAATCAGACGGATTCACCTATATTAATTATAATATTTTCATTACGTACCCCTGGTGATTGATTATATTATGTTCTCGAATGAAATATTACGAAATATCTTGTCTAATATTTTAACGGAAACAGGTATAAATGGTTGTTTTTTTTATCATTATGATAAAACGTTGTCTTAGATCGAATCCATAGATTCTCGTTAAAAATGTATACTAAAGACAATTGCATCTTAGATAAGCTATATAGTTAAATAAATACACTATAGTTCCCGGAAAGAGTGTTTACAACTTTTTTTTTATATAAATAGGCCATCTTTTTATATTAATCGATTTTTAGAAGTCTATATTACGTATGAGTGCTTAATAAATTTTTTACGAAATCGTATTTTATCATTCTRTGTATCATCATTATTGTCTATGATAAGTGATATTGAATTACTTATAATTCAGAGTGAATCGCTAGTTATAATCGTCCTTTATCTGCCGCTGGTGACTGGTGGTTAATAATTTAATTTTAAATCTTACTATTAGACCGCCATTTCAAATTCAAAGTTTGTCATTTAATTAAGTGCAATTATGTTTTATAATAAATAACTAAATAAYATTACTATTGTTTCAATAATATTATACTCTATCAATATAGACAAGAATATTGCGAAAACATGGATAATATATTGCTGATGAATCTTAGATATATGCATGATGTATTGTTGTATACAAATATACAATAATATAATATGCTGTCATTAGAAACACATCATAGCATACATTGCATATGAAGAAAATAACATAAAAATTGAATACGTCTTTCGTATTCAAATGACATATAAAATGTCATTTTAATATGGTTTAAAAAATCGCTGTTCTTCAAAAAATGTTTTCATAACATTTTATGCTCGTAATACAACTGGTATTATTACAACCATATCATATAAGTATACAATTCACAATAAATTTGTATTAAATATTCCATATTCTATAGAATATATTATACAGGATGATTCACTATTATCATTTTACCCTTTTTTAAATATTCAATATTCTATCTGATCAAATTCTGTCTTGAAATTTTTAAGTTTACTCAAGGACTATGTTATTTAAAAACACTTATATTTACCATTTAAGGAATATGCTGAAACGATATAAATTTCATTTTTTTTTTCAAATGAAAATCACCATATTTCTAGTACACCRCACTCACCTTAAARGTAAATATTGATGTACCTATCTAAATAAAAATTTAATCAAGTAGTTTTTGAGTCTTTTAGTGACTTTYAATAATTAGTATGATAAATACTAGATTCAATATTACATCATATATTATACATATTTTTTAAATTATATTTAAGAACTTTAGTTATTCTAAGTATTATAATAGTTCAGAAACTATTAGTTTGAATGTCGATATAAATATCAACATTTTCAAACACTTAGCGTGTTTTAAATTTTACAGTAACAAAATGTGTTTTCTTTCATAATAAGAATCGCGTACCACTACTACAGGGCACGGCTAAATGGCATAAAAAATCTTAATAATAAAAATATGGCCCTCAAGTATACTTAAAAATGTTTAAAAAGAGGTTGAACATATTAATTATTATAGAAGAAAAACGGGGATTAGCTTTTTTGGGGAATGACCATAACTGTATACTACAGTTGACGAATTAAAAATAAAACGTGATGTTTGAAGTTGTGCATATACCTCAAACAAATATTTTTTAGTTTCGTCAGAACTATATGATATTAACAGCATTACTTTTTAGACCATTACCATATGAAATACTTTTATTTATATGTTTTATATAAATTTTTTTTTTGTCCATACAGCAGAGTTACATTGTTACACGAGAAAACATATGATGTGCCGTTACACTCTATTGCTGTCTGCTGGAGTTTTAGCGATCCTGTTGGCAAACCGCGGTGAAAAATGTTTCGTCCAGGGCTTCCCGATATCTGAAACTTACGGTGAGTCATTTTGCTTTTATTCTTTTCTTTATGTTTTTCGTGCCTGCAGGGATGGTTTTATCGTCACTTTTTTGACGGCTGTTGTCGGAATAATTTTATGACGAAATTGTCCTCCATCAATCGTCGTAAGTTTGTTACGAGTTGTACAAATTACATCATATATAGTTATAACAACAGAATAATCTTTCTGCAATGAGCTGTAGTGCAAAATGATAGCTGCCTATTTATACGTACCAACAGCTATATAGGTACTTATACATGATAACCTAATTAAAATRTCCATAGCTACAACTGACTTAACAAAATTATTAATCAACGGGACTTGAAACTAAAACTATTATAGGTATACGATTAATTATAATAATAAATCCTCCTAAAACAAGTTATTAAAAACTATTTTTAATGCATGTCCTATGCAGTGGTGATACTGTATTACACATAGTTATGTGCAATAATAATTACTATCRTTTACTTTATGACATAATACAAAACAATTTATATGTTATAMATTTTATATTCAAACAAACAACATTATTACTTAATCATTATCGTGTAGGGGTTTTGATTAAATTATAATTAAAGCACTAAACTGGCTTTTCAAGGTCAATTATTTATATCGAATYGAAAATCAACTATAATWATTATTATATCCTTACCGAATGTGATCGGTTTGTGGAATTTCTTACTTTAATAATTTCTTAATAATAATAAGGACAATAAGGTATTTAGATTGAGACGTTTTTAGCTCAACCGAAGATATCAAATTTTGTTTTTCTGTTTTAATAATCTTTTTGGTTATTTTCCAAGCGAATTAGTTTCAACTATGTTAATTAAAATTAAAAGTACTAGCACTATTTGTTACTAAAATTACAAATATTTCTGTAAAAACCATAAACTTTTAATTTCATAATTTAAAAGAAAAAYAAAACAAATTAGAACAAAAGCCTGGTTCAAATATGAGTGTTGGATGRTAGAAATTATAATGAAATAGTACTTTTATTATAATAATATTCACTCTTTTTACATTTAAGCCTCAAACTAAAATACTTTGTACTGGTCAGATTTAAATGAAGTTCGTTATTTTGTTTTAATTTTTTGCTATTATTATTTTACACACAACAAAACTTAGTACTTATTTCTTACATTTATATATTCAGCTATTCCAACAAGTACTTTATTGTTTTTCATAATATTTMCTGAGTAAATTAGATCAAAAGAATTTTTAAATTATTATTTAATATGATTTTAAGGTCTTTTAAAAATTATGGTTAGGTTATAAGCAATAAGCAACCTATAAGCAATAAAAATTTTGTCTGTAAATCAATAAATTATAAGTATGATAGATACATCAAAATCGTTAAACTATTTAACAAAGTACTTTCTTCTTATACAAAAAAAACTTAGTAGACACTAATACTATGCTACTTATAGATTTCTTGMAAAAGCTAGAATAATAATATCATGTAGCTGACAAATTTAGTACATAAAAAGTATGTTAGCTGAACTACATAAATACCAGTTAACGCTCTAATAAGTAGATAGCATTTTTAAGTATATAATTTAGGAACTTAACTTCCTGTGAACTATTTAATTTTTATGATATAGTTTGAATAATACACCTAAAAGCCCTTGTAACAAATTCGTAAGTTTTGCATAAAGTTTTGAGTTTTGACTCCATTGTAGAGTTTGTATTGAAAAACATCTGAGACTTCGTAATTGAACAAACTCTATTCTTCAATAAATAACGTATTTGAAACTTTAATAGTATTGTATATGATGTATAAATTATTATATAAGTAAAATTGTATTGTACATTTTTCGYAATGTAAAAACTAAATTCTTTCACGCGTACTTAAATTGTTTGACTATAGYACAGTTGTTTTCCAAAACTTTCTGTAGGTTATCTTAAGAAATTGTAGGTCATGTTTATTCTTATTTTTAATCACATTTATATGACGCACCTCAACACATCATACATAAAACAAAAATGTTATCACAAAAATCCTTTAATTCTTAGCTTTTATCAGGATTTAGTGATTAATATTTTCAGTCTTAAACATGTGCCCAACCAAACYGGGATAAATAAAAATGCAAAGCTAAAAACGAAATTATAATATTACGTGTTTAGATTCTGTTGTATCTATGTGACCATAACCGTAATATTGATATTGAGCCAGACTCGTGACCGTGTCCAGAATAACCTAAGGATACCATAACTAGGAAAATAATAATAAAAGCTCTTTTAATAAAGTCAAAAATAGGAAAATCTAAACTTGATTTAAAACTTTTTGTTTTAAATATAATATTATATATTATGAATTTTAAAATTTGGAGTAGGCCCCCTACTGTTTTTTTCTATTTACTTWACTTTTACAGTACCAATACTATTATAATATTACTATGGGTAATATAGTAATATTGTATACATAGATTATTAGGTATAATTTGATTAAAAACAATGTATCGTWGATAATTATTTGATTTAAATTTAATTCTATATCCGAGGGTGCCCTATTTTTATGTTAATTTAATTTTTGGTTATTATAAAACACTTCAACTCATAAATTGCTAGTGTATTTTTTCATCATCACTGAAGTAAAGAAGTTTCCATAAACCATTCATAGTGTTCGGTATTGAGTTTGTCTAATTTTAGTGGTTTTTAAAATATTAAGTTATTCATAAAATAACTAATCGTCAAGTATTTGTTGAATATTATTAGAAATGGATATCATGATTAATTACTTTGTATTTATTTACCCAAGACTATTAAGATATATTTTAAATGTATTATCAGGCATATTAACATGCAAATTTTGAATCAATCTTACGTAATAAAAGAAATGAAAATATCTTTTTAAAACGCAACATCTATTAAAAATGAAAGTGAAAATCGAGATCAACTTACCTAATGATAAAACGCAAACAAAAAAAAATGAGATACACTTAATGAGCTTTCTAAGATCGTTCTTGTGATATAATAATGGGCTTAAGTTTTGAATCGTACACAATATATRATACTATTGACTCGTAAAATGTAATGAAGTGAAATATAATTTCCACTTCTTGTTCTATGCCYTCACGCGTTGACATTTGATATTTGACAAGAGAATTAATACTGACATTTTTATATAGGTACCTTAAATATTTTGTATACTATATGGACACCCGATAAACGAGATAATACTTTGGTGGTACATTTATATTTTATTTAGTATGATATATTTTATCACCACCATTCAAAACTGTTCCTTTAAAATCTTCGATGCGTATCCATCTAAGCATATTATTTTTGATGTCTTAGTAGTAAAAAAATGAGTTGGAACAAATGTAGTTCAATTTTTTTTTCATCGTAGTTGCATTAAAGCMGACAAAACATTCTGAAAGACACTGAAGTGTATACAATATAGTAAATACGATGCTCGAAGTATTCAACAAAGTCTGCAATTGGTGGAAGTAATACTACTATCGTGGATTCCGCTTAGGTTGTGATACCACATGACAAAAAATKGTCTAACAGTGTTCCGTATTTCAGACACGTCTTATTATATTATCGAAAGAATAATATCACTATGGTTACCCAAAACTCTTGAGAAAAGTATGTAACGTCGTTTCTTCAAAAATAGGATAATATTTTTTCGGCACATTATTATTTTCTGATCGTCGTATAAAATTTCATCCAAAACTTATAACACACTTTGTATCATTGTATTTTACCCCTAAATTATACTCTAAAYGACATTACAAACCAAAAAAAGAGTTTTTGTTCGTTTTTCCAATTATTTGGGACCTAACCTCACACACACCATACAATGTATRTTATAATAGTACCTATATATATAATACTACATACTTTTGGTACATAGGATCTATTTATTATTTTATAGAATTTTTTAAAATACGCCTTTTTGTGTATTATTGATATTCTGTCATACGTATAGATTTGATAAAATGTACTATTAAACAAAATAATATAAATATGTACTGATCATATAAACCTATATAGTTATTATATTTTTTAAATTAATTTTAGTATTTTAATAAAATCACTTTTACGCTTTACGATTATTATAATAAGACTGTACAATATACATCAATAAATTATTATGTATTAATATTAATATCATTTAATATCCACATGACTATCGAAAATGTGCAGTATCGACAAGGTATCTCTCTGTTAAGCTACAAGTATTTTCTATTTTAAAAACTGTTCACGTGTTATTTGTTTCGTTATGTGTATGTACAGATTACAGAACAAACTCTGTACTACTAAATTGCCACTTCAGTCTCGTGAAAAATCATCCACATTCTGTAATTACGCGATGTATTAAAA